TATACATTGAGAAAGGTATGCCCACATGAAGGGTGAGTGACCCCGCCCACATGCAGATCTACAGTGTCTTTTTTTTTTTTCAGGATATGATTGAATTAACTAATTAACCAATAGAGGCATACGAAAACTTTCAGAGTCCTCCTGTGGTCTATATCAAATGTCAATGCCATTCACTGCAACCAGGAACAGCAGTATGTTTCTCCAGTTTTAAACCCAGATTGTTGTAGATTTTTACCCCCTTTGCTTCAAACTCCCAAATTGTGCTCTGGTACAATCAACTGTCTTCAGTCACATAATTAGTTGAATGCAGTCCAGCTGTGTCACATGATTTTAAGAAGCTACAAAACAGTTCCAAGCTAGTGTTAGGCTGGCCATACATTATACAATTATCTGGAGATTTTTGGTTTAGATTTACCAAAAACCATATAATAGGAGGACAAACCTAAACAACACTTTCAGTTGTATCCAATTAGGCAGGCCCTTGCACTACACAGTTGAAGGTAAATCTAAAGGAAATTGGGCAGAAAATTGGAAGATAAATGTATAATGTATGGCCAGCCTTAGAGACTGAGAAGCCCCATTCAGGGTTGGGTTTACAAAATATATCCCACACTTTAAACATCTTTTTGAACAATTCAGCATAAGTCATTGAGGCAACCAGGAGACCAGTGATGACTTTGACTGTCTGTAATTGCTGTGTTGATACCACCAAAAACGAATAGTTTTTAGTAAACTATGCAAACCAGCCTTCCTTGCCTTGTTCATTTCTGCCAGACTGACCCTTGGACGTGCACAAACAAACTCCACCAGTGCTAAGAACCTACTTGTTTTCAGGATACTATGGTAAGACTGTCCCTTGAAAACAAGACCCCGTGGTTGTTGTGTGACCAACATGATGAAGATGGCAAAGTCTGAAATATTAATCACACAGTCCCCATTATTAATGTTTTTGAGTTGCATATCTGTGGTTGCAGGAGGTTTGATGCACAGTTTTAATGTATTAACAGTCTGAACCTAACTATACAAGATAGCTAATTCCAGTCATTCCACAAGTAAATGGAATGTATAGTATATTCACTCATTTGTTCTGTTCATAAACAGCACTGGGATTTAAAATGTGTAAAGCCTCTTAAACATATCAAATGTAAAAATGGCAGAGGTGTAACATGGCTAAGTGCTTCCAATTTGCAGTAAATTCCCTCCATGCTGCTAAGTGGGATCATAGGTTTGATGGTTAATGTTACCATGTCAGGCAAAGCTGATTTTCCTGTTAAAAACAGCCTGGAAATAACATTGGAGTTGTGCCATGTTGGTCGCTGACATTTTAAATGACAATTTCCATGTTCTATAAAAAGTCATTTGAAAAGCTACTGGTGGTAATTGTGACTGAGTCTGTCACTAACTCCTCAATGAAAAATCCCAGCCAGCAAGCTTTATGACTCAATGTCTGTTTCTCGAGCTACATATGTAACATAATGGTTTCTAGAAAGATTACAATACTAGGCACACACATCCTTCTGTCTTTCTGCATTATTGTGACTGATACTGTGTTTGTTTACTTTATTTTATTTCTTTGTTACAGGTGTTGTTACCTGGGAAGGAGCAAGTTAAACTGGCCATAGACAGATCGAAATTCATCCAGTACAGCAGGAATTGGCCAAATCTCAATCAGCGTGTAGTCGCCACTGTTCAACTGCAGTTGATCTAGCGAACAGACAAGCTGGAAAACTTTTGGCAGTCAGTGACTGCAGCCAATAAGCTGCAGCTGCAGATCAATGAATTCTGACAGTGCCAAGTCCTGCTGTCAGAATACAATATTCCAATGTGGGAAGGGGGAGAGGGCGGGATTCCTCCCTCCAACCCGTTTGTGTGGGTTGCAAAACCTGTTCATTTGCTTTTCATTCAGCCTTCAAAAAAGACCCATCCTTAGCCTGATTAAGGTTTGCCAGACACACATAGATTTTTTTTTTTTTGTTAGCCTGCAGTCTAACAGATTTCTTCATTCACACTATACAGCACAGATAGAAAAAATTCCCACTGTAAAATATTACATTTTTCTTCTTGACTTTATAGCTAATAGCTTGACTTTAAGCTCACTTTCATATCATGTACACTACAGTGCTAAATCAGTTTCTAGAAAGACCTGCCTATTTCAATCAAATCCAGTGATCAACAGCTGTAGAAGCAGCTTGGTAGCTGTAACAGTAATAATGATGGCTAACCAAAGGTACTTCGGTGGGTGACTGAATACCAATTATAAAAGATACAAGAGAAACTTAATGAGAACAAATCACCAGGTCCAGATGGCTTACACCCATGAGTCCTTAGGGAACTTAGCTCAGTTAGAGTCAATTTGCTATTTCTGATTTTTAAACACATCTTACTGACTGAAAAGGTACCAACTGATTGGCATAGAGCAAACGTGGTACCAATTTACAAAAAAGAATCGAGAAGGAAGATATAGACCAGTCAGCCTAACATTAATATTATGTAAGGTATTTGAGGGACTGGCAGGGGACTCTAGAAATTTGTTTGCAAAAAAGGTTTATTATGTGACAACCAGCATGGATTTACGAAAAACATTCTTGTTCAAGCAACCTGTTATTCTATGAGGACATAAGTAAGAAATTAAATGATGGACGTACGGTGAATGTAGTTTATATAGATTTTGCTAAGGCATTTGGTACTGCACCTCATAGACATTTAATATAGAAAATAAAGTCTGCTAGAGTTCATGAAATTGTATGTACATGGATACGACACTGGTCACGTGAACTGTTCCAGAGAGTAGTGATAAATGACTCATTCTCTGAATGGACTAAACTTGTGAGTGGTGTGCTCCAGGGTTCTGTCCAGGGCTAATGCTGTTCAGTAGGTTTATTAAAGATATAGAGGTTGGAATCAGGAGCTCACTTTCAGTGTTTGCTGAGGGGTTTGGGCAGATACATGCATATGAGCTACAATGTTAACCACTTCAAGTCCGGACACGTTCACCCCCTTCCTGTCCAGGCCAATGTTCAGCTTTCAGCGCTATCACACTTTGAATGACAATTGCACGGTCATGCAACACTGTACCTGTTAGCATTTTTTGAGACAGATACAACTTTCTTTTGGTGGTATTTATTCACCACTGGGGCTTTTATTTTTTTACTATATAAATGAAAAAGACCAAAAATTTTGATAAAAAAGTGTTTTTTCCTATAAAATTTTGCAAATAAATAATCTTTCTTGATAAATCTTGGCCAAAATGTATTCAGTTATCTTTTTTGGTAAAAAAAAAAATACAATAACCGAAAATAGTTCATAAAAAAAATATTTTTCTAATTTTTTTACATTTTTATTTTATTTTTTTTATATTATTTATTTATGAATGCATTTGTTTTTTTTTACATACTGTCACCCTAGCAGTACAGTGTCACCATATTGACACTGTACTACTACTTGTGGGGGGTGATCAAGATTTTTTTTTTACACTGATTGTTTTTACACCCATAAGGCCCCTTTCACACATGCGTTTAGTTCAGTCACATCTGTTCACATCAGTCTTTCATCAGTTTACGTCAGTTTTTCATCAGTTTACATCTGTTTTTCATCCGTTTTTTTCATCCGCTTTTCATCTGTTTTCATCTGTTTACATCCGGTTTTGTCTGTTTACATCCATTTTTCATCCATTTACACCCGTTTTTTAGGGTTTTCTTCAGTTCAAAAAAACGGATGTTAACAGATGCAGACATTAACGGATGTAAATAGATCATCGTCCATTTATATCTGCTAGTCCATAGAAATACAGTACATGGGTTTCTGTTTTTCATCCGTAAATGGACAGATGAAAAACGGACATATGGAACGCCCCTGTGAAAGGGGCCTAAAGGCTGTGAAAGCAATAATTTAGCCTGCATTGTGAAAGCAATAATTTATCCTGCATTCCTGCAGCCATTGAGAAATAATGTGAGAGCTGTGATTGGTCACAGCTTGTCACATGGTACAAGGCTGTTGTGTAGTAAAGTCATATTTTTCTCTTGTACCTACAGGTAAGCACATAATAAGGCTTACCTGTAGGCACAGTATATAGCTCCTAAACATGCAGCGTCGGTGATGTCACTGGCACATGCTCACTGCACTCTTTAATGGATGGCATGGTGTCCTTTAACCTCTTGCCGACCGCGCATAGCCGAATGACGGCTTCACCGCGGCCGGCCAGTTCTGAGTGGACGTCATATGACGTCCTCCCAGAACGCGCTCTCCTGCGCGTGTCCTACGGACACAGCTGATCACGTGATGTGGTGAAAGGCCGATCCCACCGGCCTTTTACCACGTGATCAGCGGTGTCCAATGACACGCTGATCACAGGGAAAGGCAAGTGCCGGTTCTCGGCTGCACTTTCCACTCACGCTGTCAGATCGTGAGGAAAGTACTGCAGTTGTCAGAGCGGGGATCGGCACCGATCATCAGGGCACTGATGATCAGTGCCCTGATGATCGGTGCCCAGCAGTGACACCCGCAAGTTTCGCCCAGCAGTGCGCCCCACTAGCCCCGCCCACACCCGTTCCCAGCAGTGCCCCCACCTGTGCCCAGCAGTGCCCCCACCTGTGCCCAGCAGTGCACCCACCTGTGCCACTCTGCAGTGCCACCTACCTGTGCCCAGAAGTGCCACCTACATGTGCCCAGCAGTGCCACCCACCTGTGCCCACCCACCTGTGCCCACCAGTGCCACCCACCTGTGCCCACCAGTGCCACCCACCTGTGCCCACCCACCAGTGCTGCCCACCAGTGCCACCCACCAGTGCAGCCCAGCAGTGCTGCCAGTCAGTGCCACCAGTCAGTGCCCAGGGGTTGTGCCAGTCAGTGCCGCCAGTCAGTGCCCAGAAGTGATGCCAGTCAGTGCCGTCTATCAGTACCCATCATCAGTGTCACCTATCAGTGCCGCCTATCAGTGCTGCATATCAGTGCCGCCGCCTATCCGTGACCCCTAATTAGTGCTGTCTATCAGTGCCGCCTATCCGTGCCACCTCATTAGTACTTCCTATCAGTGCCCTTTAGTGCTGCCTATCAGTGCCCATCAGTGCCGCCTATCAGTGCCCATCAGTGCTGCCTCATCAACGCAAATCAGTGAAGGAGAAAAAATACCTGTTTGAAAAATTTTATAAAAGAAACAAATAAACTTTTTTTTTTTTTTCAAATTTTTTGCACTTTTTTAATTTATAGCGCAAAAAGTAAAGCGCCCAGTGGCGATTAAATACCACCAAAAGAAAGCTCTATTTGTGAGAAAAAAATGATCAAAATTTCATATGGGTACAATGTTGCATGACCGCGCAATTGTCAATCAAAGTGCGGCAGCGCTGAAAGCTGAAAATTGGCCTGGTAAGGAAGGGGGTATAAGTGCCTGGTAGGCAAGTGGTTAAGAGAGCTGTGCAGTGGCTGAGGCTCCCGACAAGGAAAGATGAAAGCCTTGGGAGCTCTTAACTTTCAGGGAGATTTTTTGTTGTATTTCTACTACCCCGCTTTAAGAGGAGATATGACTGCAATGTACAAAAAAATCTATAAGTATATGGCTATCTTTAGTCTCTCAGCCTCTCCAGCCACTGTGGAGTGACTAAATCAGATTGGCTGGCTACAACCTGTAGGTGTTCATTTACAATGGCCACCAGTGTTAAAGGTTATAAATAGAAGTCCTATAGGGGTGCATAATGTATTGCTGATTTCTAACCACCAGTATTAAGGGTGTTAAATAGGGTTGTATTGGATCATTGATTTCTAATTACTCATTTGCTTTAATCTGTGTGATTTTCTTGAGGTCTTAAAACCTCAGATATAATAATATCTTCATATTGTGGCATGCTATAGGTAAGTTGCACACTTTGGTAGTCCAAAAAAATGGGTACTTTTGCATATATCAATTACTAAAGGTATTTGAAGTTGATTCTTAAAAATATAAACATAAAATTGTGAGAATGCAATATAACATTTTAACACAGCAAACACACCACGAACGTTGTTCAAGGACAGAAAAGTGTTTTGGCTGGGTTCCAATATTCCACATTTCTTCTACATCTTGGACAGTCCATGCAGCTGTTATGGTGCTCTTGGATGGGCGGATGCCTACTAGGGAGGTTTTTGAAGCAGCAATATAGTAAATAAGTATGCATGTAAAAATAACACAGATCTGTATCATTAACCTGATTCTCTTCATTCTAGAAGAGCTGATTGTAAGACGCACAGGAGTTTTTGGGATCATACTGTAGCTAGTCACATATTTCCTTTTCTCCCCCATCTGTGTATAGATTTATTGCCTTCAGAGCTTCTGGTCATCCTGCCAAGTTCTCTAAAAAGTACAAATATATGCAGTGGTGTATTTTGGTTTTGTGCTGCCCTAGGCAACAAAAAATCAGAGCCCCCCTGGGAGAGAGTATGGCATTGACCTACAAACACCCATGCCCCCCTCACCAGAGAGAGCCTTTCACTAACATACAACCCCCCCCCCCCCCCCGCCTTTCCAGAGAGAGAGAGAGAGAGAAAGACACTCACCTTCACAGCTCCAGATATCCCTGGGAACAAGAGTTGGGCTCTGCATACACCATCAAGCAGCCTGCAGCCTCTCTCAGATCCCACCTGGTCCCCATGGTGCATGTGTCCATTCTTCCGGGGGGGGCACTGCTGCCCCCCTGAAAAATGCCTTGTTTGCCTTGTGATAAATCTGCCCCTGTATATATGTTTGTCTTGAGGTAAGTCTGTCCCTGTATATATGCCCAACATAGTCTTTCCCAGGGTAAAAAAAAATATTTCCTAAGTTTAAAAGTAACTTGAGGTTTGCAATTCTGCAAAACCAGTTATAATATAAAGACGTTTGTATTAAAGTTATAGCGTGATTGTACATCAACAAGTGAAGATAATTCACATTTGACCTAGATCACTCTGGGTACTCAGAGATTTTAGGGGAAAATGTTTAACCTATAAACATGCAATATCTTCAAACATCATGGCAATCATTTTTTTAGTATTCACACAATGGAATATCAAATTGTGTATAGATAATCAATGTTAAAAAAAAAAAAATTAGAATACTGCTGGGAGTAAGAAGGCTATGTCTGATATTAATGTTATATAATCGGAAGTGTCATTGAGCATAATTTCTGGAAAATGGGAAAAGGCTTAAACCAATGAATGTGGTGTTGCTTAAAGAATAAGTGCACTTTTAACACACCTTGGCTCCTTATCAAGGCAAATCAAATAAGTATATAAACATAACCTTTCACATTTTCCTTTCTCCTGCTGTTCACTGAGAGCTCTCCTGGAAACTTCAATGGCCACACCAGTGCACATTTTCTGTTTAATGGCTGACTAAAGTGTCCAGAGAACATTTAAATAGCAGAAGCAGTTATATCAAAGGAGACACCACAGCATCAGATAAGAGATACATGCTCCCAATCCCAAATCTCCTGAAGGACTGAACACTGAACAAGTACTTCTAAAAGGTTCTAGAGAACCATGGTTTCTCACAACTGTGAAATTGAAGGATACCTACCTCTATTTTTCCCCAAATGCTAGACCAAGGATAAAGGATATGATGCATGGCATAACCATTTTTGTTTATGCTACTTGGGATATTGCCTGCTTAAGACCTTTCCAGTAGAGTTCTCATTTTGCAAACAAATGCCTCAATCCCAGATTTCACCTACATTGGTACTGTTATTGTGGGTGGACAGGTGCTATTTTATTTTAGACATCCACTTTTGTTTAAAGTAGACCTATCAATAAAATTCACACTTGAATCAAATAGACATATAGGGGTTTATTTACTAAAGCTTTTTCACTCAGAATCTCATGCACTTGTGCATTGTAGCCAATCAGCTTCCAACCTCAACTAACCTTGTTCAATTAAGTTTTAGCAATAAAACCTGTAAGCTGATTGGTTTCCATGCAGAAGTGCACAAGATTCTAAGTGCACAAGATTCTGAGTGAACCAGCTTTAGTAAATAAGCCCCATAGTATGTCAGCATTCTGAAGTCATTATCCACCTCTTTTTCAAAATAGTACCTCTTTTTGTCATTAATAAAGCCTCTTTCCGAGCTCCTGCCTGTGACCTAAAGTTTAGGCAAAAAAAACCATGGTCTACTCTTCAACTGCCATAGTTAGATAATACTAAAGACTACATAGAGTCTATTGTTTTCAGGCAGATTAACCTTGTAAAAAAGAAGAATCAAAAAATGGTGTCAAGTACTAATGGACAGGAACCATAGTCCATATGTTTAATGATCAAATATGGCTGCCTCCAGGAACGTATACCTTTTGCAAGCTACATACAACTTGTTCTCTAATACGCATTTCTTTCATGGGTCAAATAATTTCCTCCTAGCATTAAAATATTGGAATGGTAAACAATAAACTTTAGGATATTGGCACAGAGACTGTAAGCTTTTAACTGCTAAAGTAATTACCCCGCTCTAGGAACAGCTAAGGGTTGGGCTTAGCAAGATGATTTAGTCAAGGGTTACACGCATTGCCTTTGTTCTTGATAGGCCTTAAAATGTTGATGCATCAGAAAATGGACAAAATACATCAACATGTCAACTAACACTATTTAAAACATGGGTACATGCATTGATGTGCCTAAAACGTGCAATAATATAGTATTAAAAATGTTACCTCTGACAGATTCTTCAGCTGTCTGTGTCCCATTAAGGGGGTTTCCAAACATGTCTTGTCCTGGACACACTATGAAAAATAAAAGGAAATATCCTTAACATGTTGAAAATCCCAACTGTTGCAGCCATTAATGCATGTTAATGTTAAGGTTTCAACCTTTCCCAGCTCTATCCAAAACTGGATAGAAAACAATTGGCTGGGGTTGCAGTTCAAGGCAGGTACAATCTTGATTTGGTAAACTAAAAGACTGGAAGACCTTGGTATGGTTTTTATGCATACTGAACATTTAGTCCAAGGTAATGGCGCTAACCTTTCTCCGGATGATGCTCCAGATATAGGATGTGAATTGGATTTTGGTGCACTGTACCGCATCCCTTGCAAACTATTTTCTTGTCAAGTGACAGGCAGTATTTTATTAGTGAGCAAATAAACATGTCCCAAGTGATTTTATAAATGGTAATTTTAGATTGATAAAAAAATATTTTGGTATGAGCTTATATCAGATCCAGATTTTATTATGAAAGGGCTTGCATGAATAAAACTTGTTGCAACCCCAAATTCAGCACCTGACACTGAAGTGCATTTCATGGCGTGAGGCTTGAACTGTGACATTAGCAGCTGTCCTTGTTGAAAGCACTGCCCCAGCAAAGACAAACACAGTTGAAAATGATTGATTAGCTATATGTACTTAATTTAATTTGACAGGCATCAGAAACTTCCCTGAGCCACGTAACCCAAGTTAATGAAATCATATTTAACTAAGGGTGTGTATGTAGACTTGATCTTAGTGTGGTGACTTAGCCATTAGTAGGAATTCACTGTTTACCTTTGGAATTCTTATCAGTACTTAGCCAGGGTTTATGTGTGATTTTTCACCGATTGCTCAATCGCCACTGAGTTCAACTATCTTCACCAAGTTAGAACATAGCAAGATCACAGGCAATCCACTCAGCATTATCTAATCTGCTCTAATGGTATGATATCAGTTTTATATAAAACCAGTATTATTTAATGCATCTATTTAAAACCATATTTGTAAATCAGTCTTTGCATTAAAAATTTATAAACTCAAAAGTGTACAAACATTTTATTGTTTTGGCATTTCTAGTTTCCAAAAAGTGTGTATATCTATTTTACTTCTCTGGTCAAAGAGACCAGCTATCTATCTTACTAAGGTGTGATCCTTCTCAGAATAACTGTAAACTAGGGGGTGAACCCTAGGGAAAAAAAAGGTGACATCATGAGAGTATGGTATGATGTAACTGTAGGCACAGTATAATGAGTGAAGATTGAAAAGGTAGTAAGTACTGTAGAGAGCAGATAAGATAACACAGTCGCACAATCTGAATATGACCTATAAAGAAAATAAATATAAAGCCACATGCAATGAAAATAAATGTATGAGCTGCAACTAGGCAAAACAAAGTAGACCTTGACAAC